CCTTGATTCGTAGGCTGGTTTTCCTTCCTATCTCACCAAAATAATTCTGCTCACAGTTGCTTCGTTTTTTTGCAACAAGCTCCCGAGCAATCCAGCTCATTCACCTCGTGTTGCTTCGGCAAGCTAGCGAAGAGTCTAGACCTCTTCTTTGTGATAATCTGTGCAGAAGTATATTGGCGAAACAGGAAGTAAAATCAGCCTACGAATAAAGAAACATCAAAGACGGCAGAAACATGGATACGAAAAGGTCAGAAATATCTAAACATATTGTACAAACGGGGCACAAAATCGGCTGGAAGGCTACAGAAAGACTGGCCTCATATGGTGGAAATACAAAACCTGATGATACTAGTGAAACGTCTGGGAACGTACCAATTCCATGGCTAGACGCTGGAAATGATCATGGATACTATGGCAGAGAACTTTGGATTAGGTACGTTCATCTAGTTCGCCTGAAAATACCCTCATGCTGCGAAAACTGTCAAACCTCTTTTATACAACGTAAGGAGACCGAACCATTTTGGTCTTCCCACCTTCGTGCAAGGCTTCTTGTTTATGTGCATATACAAAGTTCTTGATAGATAATTGCTTTTCTTTACATTTGCAGCAAAAGAATAAGGATAATTACAAGTAGACGTTGGGCTGGATGTATCTCAGTATATTACATTTTATATCTGGATTTTGGGACTTCTCCATTTATCAAAAGAAATTGCATGTTTATATAGTCCAATACTTGCTTTTTCATATTGATTAAAAAAAGTCTTGTTTCTATATTCCAAAAAGCTTAAACTTTTGGTAGTTATTTTCCTGTCCGATATCATTCATATGAGCATCTTTTTGCGATTGGCTAGTGAATGAGTATGAGAATTCGAAATATGTGGAGGAATTTACATGAAAACTTTTTTTTAATAAGCAATTTATTTACTCTAGGTACATAATATGATGGAGGACTGATAATTCAATTTTCACACAATAATATGGTTGGGCTTCGCGATGTCATTGAATTTTACTTTGCCATGCCTTCCTAAAGGTATTGTCATCCATTGTAGACTGCAGTTTTGATTTTGCTTGTGTCTCATTAGAATCACCTAAGGGGATCGAATCTAGGTAGTCAGCACAGTTTTAACGTCACTACTATGTCATGGTGCCAGGGATTTCAGTGAGATTGTCGATTAGGCAAACTTGTATTTGCTCTCATAATCAATTACGTTACCAGTAGATCTTGTTTAAGACCAAAAAACAGTGAAATTCAATGACATCGTGAGACCTAATAATAGCATTGTGGGAAAATGCAGCTATCGGTCCTTCATCATTTCATTCCACCTAGAGGGAATGCAGCTCTAATTTCATATCCACTCTATTTTGAAACCTATATAACCTGAATATTTTATTTCAAGTTTACATTATTCTTATGTCTAAAAAAGGCTGGAAAGGCTCTGGCAATCTGGTTTACTTGTAATCAGGTAAATTCATCGACTTTGACTTCACTAAGATGAAAGATGAAATTTATTTATTACTGAAAGGAGGCGATGAATTAAGGAACTAGATTACTAATTGAAAAGATAAATAAAATGGGTAATATAGATAAGGACACAAGACCTAAAATTATATTGTAGATAGGAAGACCAAGATGGTCTGGCCTTCTTTTCGGTCGCAGTCTATTTTGGC